CGAGCTCCCCCCCCTCGCGATCAAAACCCAGAAGTCACCTGAAAGCCTGTGGCAGCGTCAACCGCCCGGCTTCGCGCGTCGTCCTTTCGCTGCTGCACGTGAGCGTGGGCTCCTGCTATGACGCCCCAGATGCCAAGCCCGCACAGAAGCATAAAGACCAGCACCGGTGCAATCAGTGTTCCCGGATACAGAAAGATGATCTCGGCCGTTGCCTGTTGAAAGTTACATATGCGGACCAGAGGGACAAGAGGAAGGAGTACTGATCTGGCTGGGGGTTGTGTAAATGTCACGTTGGCAGGCGAAGCTTGGGGGAAAGAAGCCCCACCTTGCAGGCTTCCGTGACATCGTTGAAGCACGTGCGCATCCGTGACTTGGCTGGGGGCTTGACAGCCTGAGGTTTTCCCTTGTTGCCGTCTATCGGCTTGGTCAAATCGACCGATGCCAATACCTGCGGCTCTGCGCCATCACGTGCAGCAGCATTTTGCTGGTCTGCCGTGTCAGCTTCCGTGACGCCCTGGCGGTCAACGACTGTCGTTGCCCCGCCCACCACAAAAAGTGCTTGACCATTCCCATTCTCCACGTCTCCCAGGCTCGTGTTGCTACCGCCGCCTGCACTTTTAGCCTCGCAGTCATCCTGCTCCTTGCCCTTACAGTTTGCCGTGGGCCGGCCCGCCCGCACGTTTCTCTCTTGGAGCTCACGCACAAGGCTTGCCCTGTCCACCCAAGAGAATGGAAATGAAGCCCCATTAATCGTAGGACCGGCACCATTCAGCCTGCGCCACAGTGCTCTGGGTTTCTGGCAACATGATATTTAATTCTTACATGGCATGATTTGTATTGGCGAAAAGTTCTTGTGCCAAGTCTCCTTTGGTTCGCTCTGGCATACTGGGCGCATTGGGCTGTTGGACGCCTTCACCAGCACAAGTGTCCATCATAATGCTGCCAGCAGGTTGTAAAATTTTCTATCCTTTCATTTCATCACTTGCTCGAAACAATTTTGTTGCAGCACGCTCACAGCTAGAAGCGGTGTCATGGCTAAGCGCGCGAGGGTTTGATTACTGAGGGACTCATGCATGCAGCAACACAGACTGTTGCGGATGCGGTGGAGTCAAAGCAAGGCAAGTGCCTGAAGTCCCGAGAACCGTACGACGAGGTTCCATTCAGCACTGTTATCCCCGTCACAGGCAACGCAAGTCAGTGTCTTATTGGTGCATTTCAGTATGCGCGTGCTAGAGAGCTAAAAAGGGTGTTTTCAAGGATGTTGGACCAAGAGTTGAAGCAACGAGAGAGCAGAATTCCTGCGTTATGGGACGTCCACTGGCCAAGCTCACAAGGTTTCGTGCGTGATACTTGTCGAGCACCCCTTACAAAACATACCGCCAATTAAAGTCGTACAGTAACCCCTGCTTATAACCCCTATTGAACTCATCGTTCGCCTATCTGCGGTGCCAGGATACCCCTGCAGGTTACCCTCAGGTTACACTTGATGAAGAGGCTGTCGTTCGCCTCGCCCCTTGGAAGTTGGAAACGCAGAGCACACAATTGACTAATACCAGATAGATAACGCGGGTAATGCGTTTTCGCGAAGTGGTCCTTGTATACACAATCTTTCTTTCTTATGGACATTCTGAGACATTCGCCCGACGCTCACTAGGGCATTCCTCAACAGTACGGTCCCGACATGCATCAAGTCACGTAGGACACCTCATATTATACGAAATATTACCAAAATACGCGGAATGCTGTAATCCTGGCTTGGCGTCAGGCACCTCCGAATCCGACGGACGCAATTTCCCCTGATCACGATGAATTTGACAATTCGATGTGGGTGGAGCATCCATGCCGTTATCCGCAAAGTGCGCATCTTGACCAATATATATAGGTAATATGCGTTTACCTTGCCACGTATGATGCAACCCACTTCGCCCCGTGGCTCACAAATTAGCCATGCATCATGAATGGCCCATCCGTACCTTCCGTGATACATTAATCACAAAGCCACGTCACGCCAGTGCCTCGCTTCCCTGTAGCAACCAGCATAGGAATGAACAACATTAACTTTGATGAACCCCACCGGATCGCCGCTGCTGCCCCGCCCCACACCACTTCATGATCATGATGACCACACAGAGAGTTGCGTTGCCCGCTGCTGCCGTCCGCGCAATGTTGTTGTTGCCCGCAGTTCTCATTCCCAGAGCTTTGACAACACACCCATCTCAACCTCATCTCAAACAACGCCCATCTCAACGAGCCCCCAGGCCAGCCAAGTAATGACACAAAACAACCCGACTGGCGCAAACCCAACCCATGGTCACAGCGCTTGAGCGGCTCATCAGGCCATCAGGGAGTTCACAACTTATTCAGTCACCAGTAAAGTCGCCACCAGGAACGGAGTTCACAACCACCCTTGAGCACTGCCCCATTGAATTGCTTACCAAAAACCTCAGGATTTAATATCGCTGAACAGCCCCGTGCACCACGACGCGACAGTTAACCTCGTCTCTAGTGTATAGCTGACCAAGCTGCCCGTACACGTACATGCGAAACCATAGACCCATCCACCCAAGACCCAACCACCACCATCCCCGTGCCTTCATGCGCTGCCAGTGCCTGCTTGGCGGCCAACGATGACCTCCCTGACACGCCCCCGAAGGATGTGGGCGCCGGCCACTTAACACGGTTGGCGCAGGTCTGCATATTCGGCACCTACCAAACCTAGTAAGCCGCGCTGGTGGGTGCGGGAGTACCTTCCACCACAAGGCCACGCGCAAGGGTCATCCACGTGCTTGCCATTCTTAAGCCATCGCAACAAAGCCTACGGAATCAACGGAAATGCCATCAAGGGTTTCTCACCGAAAGCACCGGTTCACCAAGTCGTCGAAGGGCACCCAGAGGTATGTACGGCGGAGGTTCACAACCTGCTAGATGACATATGATATACATCTGATATATGAAGTAAACATCGCTGCACTGCAACCACAGTAAAACCGGCTGCAATGCACATATATGTACATACAGACAGATAGACATACAGATAGACATGCAGACATACATACATACACACAGACAGACCCATACTTCTGGACATGCACGCAACGCACGTCCGTACAGGCGAAGTAGAATTACCGCACACACCGACGCACACAAAGACGGCCCCCGACAATAAGCCCCTGGGCGACAAAGGGGGCACAGCTGCTTCCAGCTTCCACGTGGCTTCCTTCCCGTCCAGAGAACGGCTCAATCTTCATTGACAGTTAAGCCAAAGGCGAATGGATATCCGATAGCTGAGGAGGGACCCCCCATCCACGTGCTGGGCCAATACAAACCCTGTTGGGCATACTAGGGGGGTTGCGCATGAACACCAGAAATCGCAAAGGCAGGGGTGCCACGCAGGCGCCCTGCCCAGCCGCGAAGCCTACGCCAGACAGCACATCTTCCCTCATCATCTCATGCTATTGCTGTTCTTTCCGCACCCTCCCAACCTGCAACAGCAGTTTATCTACGAACCTAATAAAATGCAGGGGGTGTTACCTCACCCCCTTGAAAAGGAAATCAGTGTGCGCGCGCGCCCAATGCATTTGCGTTCCAAAATCCAAGTGGGATTATGCCGTGCAGTAGATGAAGGAGGGTGTTTGCGTTCAGGCGCGGTTCTCAGACATTCCCACTTTTTTTGCTTATTCACATCCGGGGGGCTCTGGAGCTCCCGGGCACGCCTGCTTCAATCGGTCGACGCTTAAGCAACTATTAGTACACCAGATAGCGCCTTCCTTAGCATGCGGCAGCAGCGCCATCCTCGCGCTGAGGGAATCGCGCTGCTGCTGCTGCTGTTGCTGCTGTGGTACATGGCTACGTACACGCCAGCCCTCTCCTCATCCCTCATCTTCAATTGTGCAGCTGCTGGGGCCCGAGACGTTCACCCGGCCGTTGTGCAGCTGCTGGGCCATATGTTACGACGAGCCCTCCCTACAAGGGGGGATTCAAACAAGGCGTACAAGATGCAAGACGATGCAGGACGTCATCATCACCATGCAAGTGTCTGAATGTGTTTGGCAAGCAGGCATTTAGAAGGTTGCGGAGGGCGTGGATGAACAATGCCATGTTGCCTAAACTGGGCTTAACTGAGCGCATGTGAAGCCAACCCAACTCAACCTGACAGAGCGCCAAGTATGAACCGTATGTGAAACGTTCTGTACATCTCTGTTTGCGCCCGCTACCCGGCTAACCAAAAGCCGATGAAATTCAAGGTGACTAGGTACCCAAGTCGCACAAAGATACGGCAAAGCCCGTTCAACGATATCGTGCTGGCTGGGCCCCTCCAGCCTCCGGCCGCCCCCCCCCCCGAGGACTTACCTGTGTTCGGCCTCCTCGTCCAGCGCAGATAGCGTGGGCCCCAGCCCCGAGCTGCTCTTACCACCGTATCCAAGCCGTATGCCCAGCTTCCTTAGATGGCGCTGCGCCAGGTTGGCTTTTAGTCTGGCGCGTTGCTGCAGGGCTGATGACGACGAGGAGTGGGGATGCCGTCCCACTTCTGGAGGGCCAATAGGTGGAGCCATAGAGTCTAGGATTATGCCGCAAGACCCACCCAAACCATCCCCGCTGCTGCTGCCGCCGGCGCCGCCGCTGTTAACACTGCCAACTCCGTGGCCATGGCCACCGGCGCCGCCGCTACCCTCCCCACTCCCGGGGCAAACCGCGGCGCCGGCTGATGTGACGAACGCGGTTGCCGACGCCATGGTAGACGCGCCACCGACCACAATGCCGGCATTGTACAGCGCCAGCGGGTTGTCCCGCGTGATCATGCAGCTGCCGCCAAAGGCTCCGGAGACGGTACCTGAGCCGCCACCGCCGCCACCGCCGCCGCCGCCGCCGGCGAAAGTGCCGAGGCCGCCCAGGCTGGTAAGCCCGGAAGAAATGGGCGGTTGCCGCTTCGCGCTGTCGCCCGGCTGACCTGACGTCACCGGCTGCGGCTTCACAATGTTGAGCGGCCTCGTTTCCCCTCCCATCTCCTCCCTCATGCGCACCAGCTCCGCCAGCACCTGCTCGAAGGAGGGCCTCTGCGCCGCGTCCGGGTCCCAGCAGCGGGCCGCCAGGGCCACGTAGTCGCGGGGGGCGAAGGGCGGGAACTTGGGACGACGACCCTCCTTGGTGATGGCGTGACCGATGTGCGCACGGGGAACACCCGCAAAGGGGTCGCCGGCGCAAAACAGCTCCCACATCAGGATGCCGAACTGCACATACAGCGGAGGGGGGAAGGGTAGCTTAGGACGGCCATGTCAGAGCCACCATGGGTCCCACACCCAACCTCCATTCCACTTACCGAGTACACGTCCGCGGCCTTGCTGATGCGCCCCTCCAGCATCACCTCCTGCGCAGCGCGGCGGGTAGAACATTCTGGTAAGCGGACGCCAGCCCTGACCCCTGGGGCCCTCTCCCCCCTCCCCCCCTTCCCTGCACCCACCGGCGCCATGTGTGTGAGTGTCCCCTGGAAGCAGCTGCTGAGGTGCGTCTCCTGGTGCTCCATGCGCGTGGACAGCCCGAAGTCCGCCACCTTGGCAGTCACCCCACGACCCTCCGTGCCGCTGCTCTTCAACATGATGTTGCGAGCCTTCAGGTCGGAGTGGAGCACGTTGGCGGCGTGCATGTGGACCATGGCCTTGGCGACGTCCGCGGCGGTCTCAAGCATCGCGGCGAGGTTCAGCGCCCCTGCGTCTCACGAGACGGGGGGGAGATGAGGTCAGTGAGGATGGATGCTCGGAAGCTGGGTGGACAAGGCCAACCGGACTGGCAGTGGTGGTACATGGGCACATGGCCGCATGGGCACACCACCAGACATACATACACAAGTCCAGCACCCAAGCACCTATCTCACCTATTTCACCCCACCCCACCCCACCTCACGTCGCGACCCTGCCCTACCTTGCATAAACACATTCTGGTCCAGGGCGTCCTTCAAGGAGCCCTTGTCGCAAAACTCCAACACCAGCCGCACCTGCACACAGAATGTGTAGTAGCGCATGGAAAGGGTAATGGCAACAACTGGAGCTTGTAGCTGGTAGGTGCTTCAGTGATAGGAGCGAATAGACAGGAGTGATAGGAGCGGATACAGACAGACAGACAGACAGACAGGCAGCGGGTCCGCACCTCGTAGCTGTGTACAGCCGCTTCTGAGGTTTGACTTGGCGCCAGGGACTGGGTCGGGTCGGAGCCGTTAGACCGCCCGCTGAGCGAGGTGCCGTTGTAGTAGCTGACACGTGCACGCAGAAGGGGGGTGAGAGAAGTGGAGGGGAAGAAGTGGGGGGAAAGACGAACCACGAACGAGTGAAGCTGCTGCCAAGTGGGGGGAATTCAGGGAGCTAGGGGAGTGCAAAGTTCGCGGAGTGTGGGTGGCGGTGTCGTGGTTGGCGGATGAGCG